CATACGTATGTATGTACACACACACACACACACACACACACACACACTCACACACACACATACATTTGTACCTCTACCTACATCCACGCATACATACAGGCATATATTAACACACACATTCTTATTTTATTATATAAACACGCAATTTATATACATATATATATATATATATATATATATATATATATATATATAAATACAGATATAAACACGTCGTTTGTATACCCTTGTATATGCTTGCTTATGTATGTTCGTATAAAAATAATTTCAGTACTAACAAACAGAAACTGCATAAAAAAAGCACATTGCATAAAATTTAAATTTACAATCACATTGTTTAGTTCTCTCTCTCCCCCCCGCCCCCCCTCTCTCTCTCTCTTTCTGTTGTTTCTAACGCACATGCATAAAAATACACTACACACACACACAGACACACGCACGCACAAACTAATTATTATTTATCGAAGCTCTGAGTGATAGTTTTGCATTTAGACTCTGTATGAATTCGGCATGGTTAGGCTGATCACGTGCAGACGTCGATGATGACGACCTTATTATTGAGGAGGAGGAGGAGGAGGAGGAGAAGGAAGATGACGTCATTTTGTTGCTGGGTGGTTGCTGCTGTTGTTGTTTTTGGGTGGTGAGGCTTGACGATGGTTTGGGCATGATTGGAGGTGGAGGTGAAGGTACACTATGATGGTGATACTCATCATTCATCTGCTGTTGTTGTTGACGTTGTTGTTGTTGTTGCTGCTGCTGTAGTCTAAACAGCTGTTGATTGTATAGTATCAGTTGTTGCTGATTCATTTGTTGTTGTTGTTGATGGGTAGAGTTAGTCAATTCAAAGGAAGCATGCATTGTTGTGGTTGGCTGATGGTGTGATAACCTCTGTTGAGGATTGATCAAATTCAAATCCACATGCTGCTGTTGTTGATGTTGTTGTTGATCCTCGTTCGGATGCTGAGAAAGCGGCAGTTGCAGTTGTTGAAAACGTTCTCTCATTTGATGCACATTCACTTTTTGCTGCTGTTGTTGCTGCTGCTGATTCTCTTCTCCCAGCATATGTGGGGGCGGTGGAAAATTGAAAGAATCATTACCAAAACTCTTCTCTAGTTCTTCCGGTGGGGGTGGTAGTGGCAGATCCGTTTCCTTGCAGCCATCTTCGATCCCGTCGTCATCTTCCTCCTCATTTATAGTGTAATGTTTAGGCGAGGTCTGCTTCATACCTGGGTAGTACACGGCATACGGACTGACGGTTTGTTTTGTAGTTGTCGCTGCCAATGTTGCTACCGTCGTCGATGCAGTGGCAGCAGCAGCAGCTTCCTTCATGTGTGGCTGATGCAACGTGCAAGGAATAGCGTAGTCATTTGGTGATCTAGTTTGCGGCCTCGAGCTCAAACCGTCTCTGTAGCTGGAGCCACTCGGATGAGGTTGTGGCTGGTTGTGGTAGTAGTGGTTGTAGTTGTAGGAGAATAAGTTGGAGTTGTTGTAATTCATTTTCTCAAGGTCCATTAAACCATGATCCAACAGGGCACTTAATTCTGTTTCGTGGGGTGGATTGTATTTTACATTTAGTCCTATCAAACACACAAACATGCTTCTAAACTAAGTCCACAACGGCAACAATAACGTCAACGACAGCAGCAGCAGTAGCAGCGGTAGCAGCATCGACGACACAAACAAAAACCACAACAGCAACAACAACAGCAGCAACAACAACTGACCGGCCGATGACTGAACAGTGTCCATGGAGAGACAGCTGACGTTACTCATAGTGCCATAACCACTGGAGCACTGCAGCGAATGCAGCGACTGCAACGACTGCAAACTACTACTACCAGGGTCGTGAAGTTGTTGTTGTGGCTGCTGTTGTTGTTGAAGGTAAAGGTGATGAGGAGTTGAATGATGACGATGATGATCGTAAGCTTGAATGGCAGGAAAATTTTGAATAAAGTTGTTGTTGTTGTTTGTGGATATTTTGTCGTTGTTGTTGTTGTTGTTGGCAGATGAAAATTTGAGCTGAGTACACTGTTCGAATTCATCGAGTATGCGATCAAGAGCCATAATATCGATGCTGCTGTTGATGTTATCATCATAGTTGTCATCGTTCGTTGGTGTTGTCTCATTGTTGTTGTTGTTGCTGCTGTTGCTGTTGTTGTTGACGCCAGATTGCAAACCTGAAAAACCAATCTTAAAATATATTTGCAGTTTGTCAACTATGAAAAAACCACATCCACTCAAAACAGAAGCTAAAAATAATTAATCTATGAAAGGCAGCCAATGAAAACCCAAGTTAAGTAGCCGACCAATCAGAGGAGGCACAGTGGGAGGAGCTACGGGCACTGCCATAGTGACCGACCCATCTCTTCGGAGTAGGGATGGGCGGGCATATATTTTATCCGCAGTCTTTGGGGCTGCGTTTTAAAATAATACTAAAATTATTCATGAATACAAATAAAAAAAGACTTATTATTGAATGAATGAATGAATGATCGAATGAATGAATGAATAAATGAATGAATAAATAAATGAAAGAACGAATGAAAATCATTTTTATTATGAATGAATGAATGAATGAATGAATGAATGAATGAATGAATGAATGAATGATTGAATGAATGAACGAACGAATGAAAATCATTTTTATTAAAGAAATTATGGATAATACTAAGAAAGAGAAGACAGAACACACCTTGTGACTTACTATTATTACTACTACAATTAGTTTTCGTAGTACACCCAACTGGCTCTGAAGCAACTGATGATAATGATGACGTTGATGATAATGATGAGTCCATCGATAGTTGATGATGATGATGTTGTTGATGATGTTGTTGTTGATGATGATGTTGTTGTTGATGATGATGTTGCTGTATGGAAGGCATGCTTGTTGTTTGAGGCAGATGTTGTTGCGACTGTGGTTGTGGCTGTTTAAAGGTGTCGCTTTTCAGAGCCGGTCGGTTCGGGGTTGATGTGGTAGTTGTCATCAACATTGTTGGCGATTGTTGTCGTTGTTCATGGTGATGATGATGTTGGGATGGTGACATAAGTGAGGATGGTACTGTAAATTGCTGTTGAGTTGAGTTGAAGAAAAAAAAACATCCATCTTAGCATAAAAACGAACAAGGATACACACACACCACGCACACACACACACACACACACACACACACACACACACACACTCAGACACACACACAGACAAACACACACACACGCACACACACACATGCATTGGCCGCCAGGCAAACTAACAGATATAGTATGTGGTCTTTCCATTTTAGTAGAGGCGGTATGATGGAATACAACATCATCAATTGATGCTCTTTGGCTATCTGGGAAAGTTATTATTAATAATAATTACAATAAATACAATTAACAATAATTATGTCACAGCCATTATTAATCATCATCATCGTTGCCACTATTATCAACATCATCATCACTATCATAACCTACCTCTCATCATCATCATCAGCATCGAATCAGTTTGATTATTATCTTTTGAACGTTGTTTATCCCTTATTATAGAACTATCATCATCATTATTATTATTATTATTATTATTGTTATTATTGTTGTTGTTGTTTGATGCTAGGAAAGTCGACCTTGACAATGAACTAACTAATTCCACATCCTCTTTTGTACCTTTTTTCTGATCGAGTGAGTGATTGATTGATTGATCGAGGTAAATGAATGAATAAGTGAGAGATTGTATGAATGAATGAATGAATGAATGAATGGATGGAGGGAATGATATCTAACGGATGGATAAATTAGCAACAACACAAACACCACCACCAACAACAACAACAATAATAAGTAGATAAAGAATAACAGCGCAATCACAACCAAATACATTGAACGCTTCAGCATCTACTAATTAATTCACTTTCTGATTCATTCATTCTTTCTCACTCATTTTTAAAATTCACTTTCTCATCCGGACATCGACCTCACCCTGACCCTCTGAACTTTGACCACTGCCCTAACCTTCTTCTCGAGGCCAGCCTGAAACGTGACCATGGCGTCTGAAAGCTGTTCGGCCACTCCAGACTGGGGAATAGCAATCTGGCCGTCGAGGGCCAGCATCACCTCCTTGAACGTTTCAACCTCATTCAGTAGAGACAGTTCCAAATCCTTATTAATAATAATAATCATTATTACTAAAGTATGCCAAATTAATTAAGTATGCCAAATTAATTAATTAATTAAAATAAATTTAATAAAAAAAATACTAGCCATGACAGGTCTGAGACAGTTGACGAGAAAGCAGTACCTACTCCTTTGCTCGGACATGGCTGTTAATGTGGAGGTCCTCTCGTTCAACTCCAGGGCCATCCATTTCGCGTTGTAGTCCCTCAGACTCATGTCCAGTCTCGATTTTACGTCTGAGTTGTTGCTGTCTGCAGCGTCAGATTAGCAGGATGAATAAGTGAATTGTTGGATGAGCTGATGGATGAATGGATCATTATTATCATCATTTTAACATTGGCAATTACGTAGTTTATGATGATAAGATGAGATAATGATGCCAAAGATGAAGATGACAAAAATGATGATGATGATGATGACGAAGACGATAGTAACGATGGTTTCAGTTGAATTCAAATCACTATTTGTCATCAGTGTATTGCCTCTTACCCTAACAGACATCCATCATTAAAATTATTGGCTAATTATTTAAATTGTCATCGTCGTCGTCTTCTTCATCATTCTCATCTCATCCTCAATCATCATCATTATAAGAATCACAATATTAAAAACATCATCAACAACAACAACAGCTGCAACAACAACAACATCAACGAAAACAACAACAACAACAAACACAACAACAAC